GACAATTCTTTAATATATCTCATCCCGAAAACGAAAAAATAAAAGACTTCGGTAACGTCGAGAGATGCACTGTTATTGTTTGTTTTTGGATATTTTCAGAACAGGAGCAGGGAAAATATTTTTAATTTTTATGGTACTGGAAAAATTTTTTTCGGTGAAAGTATTTTTAAGCCTGAAGCCAATACAGCCTTGGCTGCATTCTGAATGTTTCATGAAATTTTTAAGTTTATTTACAAAAGTTGGACAAAAATGTCAGTTTAATTATTGGTAAATATTTCACAATAGTCAAACTCTATAAATTGTTTTATTATAACTAGCCAATGTACATGGTTCTACAGTACGTATGTTAGCCTTGGACTATATTTAAGATTTCTTCTATAGGAAACTTACATAAATGTTGGACGAGTTTTGAAATGGATGGAAACTACAATAGCAAATAATTTGTTTGATATTTAGACATCAAAAATGCATATCAAATATAATTTAATTTTGCTTTGCAAGATTAAAATGTCAAAAGAAAATAGCATGATTCAATTTAGAACCATAATGTTATGATTTGTCCATAATAGTCTATGATTTTGAATTGTGTTTAGCTCATAGCTACTGATAGTAGTTTTAGTAAAATTTTAGGGAAGTTAATATCTAATACACAGTTGTGAGATCTCCGTAGGTCTCCAAATTGTTATAAAATGAAATTATATAGAAAATATATTTTGCTCACTAGGGATCACTTTTTCACTATTTTTAACTCTTTTAACACTATTTTGCTCACTAGGGATCTACTATTTTTAACTGATAAAACGTCATAGCATTGCCACGTTTCCTACTGACAAAACCCTTTCCTGCCCGTAACCAGTGGCGCACCCAGGGGGCTTTTGGGGATTAAACCCGCCCAGGACCCTACTCCCTTTAAGGACTTAAAATGGTGGAGGTAGCATAAAAAAATTTCGGTGCCCAATAAACCCCCCCCCCCCAGAGGAAAATTATAAGTGCCCTACTGCCCGTAACAAAATTATGACAGATCCGTCAAGAAGGTGTCTGGTAATTCTATTGTTGTCAGTTTGAGGCGTAATCAATTTTGGACAGATATAATGACCCCAGACAAGAAATCAAGATTTGGATTCCAGTTAGTTGAAGAAATCAAAAAATTGGTTTCGAAAAATTGAACACGCAGAGGTTCAGAAGCTGTATTTGGACCCAATCTTCGGAGTTGTATCTTGATTGTATTCTTCTTGATTGTACTTGTATTGAATGATGATCTAAAACGTTGTGACTATCTAAAACGTTGTCATAGGAATTAGATGCAAGAGGCACAAGATCGGAATAGATGAAAAAATATGAGGGAGATCTATGTCCAGCAGTGGATAAGCGAAGATTAAATGATGGTGATGATGATTCGGAGTTCCTGCGGGTGAGAAATTTTACGCTTGAAAGATATACTACCATAACGGAACCAGCAAAGATTCTCGAGAATTATGTATTCTCAATGTAGGAGACTACAGCGAAAATAGTTGTGTATGCGAGTTATGCGAGTACGGCATAAAAATTTACGTTTGCACAGATATATCTTTCAAATGTGCAAGATTGACCAAGATACCAAGCGGAGGCAACTTCAAAGTGTTCAAGAAAAAAGAAACCTCAGTTCAAAAGCATTATCCACCAAAGAACTATTAAAAGTCATCCAGAGCTACGATGAGAAAACCCCGATGAAGCACAAAAAAATTCACCTTTTGTTCATTTGAACTTGCTTGGAGAGGCACTGAGGCCGTAAACTGCAAGATTCACTTTTACCATAAGGAATTTTATGTTATGGGAGAATTTACGGGCCGAATTGAATACAACACCATTTTTTCCAAAACAAATCAAGGCGGTTCGAAAAGTTTGGCAAGCAGCAAATGACTGGTAAGAAACTCATCACACGAAAATTTATGCAGAGTTAGAATATTTTTGAAATTAATGAAAAAAAGGGAAACAAAGATTTTATCAGACAGACTCTTTCTTACTGTTCCCCCCAACTGTAAGGATGGATCTTGGTTCAAAAACTGTCCAAAAATGTCAGCTGACAAAATTGGAATAGATACAAAAAAAAACATAAAATAACAAACCATTATCAGTTGATCGAAAATCTCAGAAGAACAAATGAAGCAGGACCTTCGAGTTCTCAAAATATCAATAATACTCAATATCATACTTTGGTAGAAAAAAATGGTCAAACTACTATAGCTTATAATAATTGTACATTTAACATACATTTAATATTGTTAACAAATAAATAAAGACTATGTTACGTTGATATTGTGCATTAATTCTCTCGTGAAATAGTCTTGTCGAATGTCATTCGAGAGAAAATTATTTACCGGCGAAATTTTCTTCTGGTTTATGTAAAATGTAAACAGATGACATCTATGTGTCAAGTAACGATCAAACTTTACATTCTGATTCTTTCACAGGTATAGGTAAAAATAATAATGTTTTATTAATTTTCTATAAATAAATTAGTACAAACTGATTACTTTTTTTATTATAATGAGAATTTATTCGATAAAATAGCTACTCGTTAGTTTTAATTCCACCATATAACATAATGTTTAAGTGCCAGTATTACTGTGCGTATCTTACGTAGAATCAGTGAATACATATTTTATTATATATTATTACCTTCTTCAGAGTATTAAAGAAAAAAATAAACAGTCACCACCTCTTAATCAAGGTTTTGCTCACAATCTTTGCATAAACTTAAAAAATGCATCAGAACATTAGACATACTGACATATTTAGATCAATTAAATGGTTAAAATGGAATCTGCCGATATTGACAACTGTATGAGTTACATCAATCCATCTCACACTCCTTTCGTACTTGGTAGCAGCCAAAAAGCAAGCAGCAACCAATCTACTAATATAAACTGCAATTTTTATTTTTTTTATTAATACCAAACTATAGCATTAGTTTTAGGTCTGTTAATCCGCAAAACATTCTTAAGCAAACAAATTTTATTGTTGTATTATGTATATATGTATTTTTTTCAAAGAATAAAAATTTGATCACTGTAAATAACACGCAGCTTGAATTCTGTAGGATGATCATCATAATGAAAGATTATTAATATCTAATGTAACCTACTCTACATAATTTAAACATTTTAAAGTTAGGCCACCGGATTTTTTCAGAAGAGTAAACACCGTTCTCGCAAGGTTACGCGTGAGTATGTTCTTAGACATCTTTACTTTTAAATTTTGTCGAAAGAATTTGGATTACCGACAATCTACTACTGATTTCAAAAACAAAATAATTTAAACACTTTTCAAGAAGAGACTTACAAAGTACACAAAAACATGACAAACCTACTTAGTGACGAAAATTTAAATTAGAAATCGTGCTTGAAAAGAAACTATATATGAAGTACATGAACTGAAGCTCTTACCAAGATATCTGTCTTTCTCCAATGGCACTACAGCCCAAATCAGGCCTTGGTCTCTTCCAAACTATGCCTCCAACTTCAACCTCCCACCTTTTCCGTGGTCTTCCTTTTGAGCTTATGACTTGGATTTTACTATTTTAGTCTCTTTTCGGTAATATTTTGACCTAAGTTTGTAGTACATGACCAACCCATTGAAGTCTCTGATGTTTAACGAATTCTGAAATCGGTGACTGTTTGAATAGTTGATAGAATTCATGGTTGTACCTGGATCTCCATATTCTGTTTACGTTAATAGATCCAAATACATTCCCTTTCTATTAAAGACTTCCAGCTTTCTTTCTGCATTTTTTAAGTCAGTAGTAAAAGTCAAAGTACAGTCAATCAAGAATTATTAAACACCAAAATTGACCATATCACTAGAAACATTAATCCAGCCAGTAAAAACATTTACTTTGTATTTGATTACTATGTAATTAAATTTGATTTCGACACACACCTTCCGAGTTAAGAGTCGTCTTTAAAAATATTGAAAATGCGAGGTCTTAGTCTTAGAGGATATTTTAATTGAAGTGTTACAGGAGCTAAACCCTTAATAAAAATATAACATTTATTTTATTACAAAAGGTTTTTATACACTTATTACGAGATGTTAATACTTCTTGTCATTAATGTTTTATCATTTTGTCCGTAGGAAGCCAATTTTAAGATCACACTGTCATACTTTTACTAATTTTTCAACCTTTTATAAGAATAATCAAGACTGACACTGTTGTATTTATATCATGAGCATTTAGAAAACCGTAGACTTTATCAATTTTTCATGAAATGGTTTTTCCAAATATCTGTGTAACCTAATATATCTACTAGCTCGAAACAATATTAATAAACGACAACTTAAAAAAATATATGAGCTCTAGTTATACAAATACGGTAGTTTTAGAAGTTATTCCTTGCTAGTCAGTTACTTTTTCAGACTTTCTGGTAATTTAAATTTTTGGCGAATGTTCCTTTGAAGTTTTAAAACTTTGGCGGGAGCGCACAGACTACAACAATATCTGCCCCAGCTTTAGTTTCCAGTTTATTATTCCAATATATTTATTTAATCTATTGTTTTTATTATAAATTACTAATGCTACTACTACATTAGTAAAGAATTATATCCTGTAGGCCATGAAAAACAGCAGGATGAGAGGCCATTCTACATAAAAAGACAAGATAAACGGTTTTTTCAAAAACAAAGAATCTAAACCATATGTTTGTTATTTTCTAACTTTATATTATAACTATTTTTGTCCGGATTTCGTTGGTGTATCGCTCGGGGAATAATAAATAACTTTATTATTGTTAAAGCGTTTCGGCGAATTGTCATTATCAGTGAACACTGTATTATTCACAACTTAGACTACACACATTGTATACGAACGAAATTCATATCGTTTATGTTTGGGCATTTAGTCGCAGGAGATGTGTTTACAAGTAATTAATTAAATTTTAGAAGATTATTGACTAAAATATATTATGTATTAGAATATACTATTCTTTCTGATATTCCAATTCATATTTTTTTTTTCATTTCAGACACCCAGTGCCAGTCAACTAGTTAACGACACTCACCAAAAACAGCTGGAACTCCAGCGCCTACAGCAAGAACAGCTGTTACAACACCAACAGAAACTGCAAGAACTTCAAGGCCAGATAACAGCACAGTATGCTGCAGGTCCTCATCAGGCAGGGCTCATGTTCCTGCCCTTTTTGGAACAGCTGCGTGGGTTACAACCTCCAGCGATGCCACAAAATGTTGCCAAATCACCGATGGGAAATCATGTAAGACTCCAGATTATTGCTTTTTTATTTTGGTGTTATGCTTTTGTGTATTCTACAATTTTTAAAGAAGGTTTAACTAATTAAAATTCGAAAAAAGTAAGGTTACCTAAACTAACAAATAAGTGCGACCCTAATCTCTGCGAATTCGGGTTTCTTACACTAAAACAACTAGAACTCATAATAACTAAACACTAAGCATTTTGTACTTATGTTCCTTATATTGAATCTATATATTTCTAGTTTGCTGTACTTAATTTTTGACACTAAGAACCTTCAACGTCAGAAAAAGGTTATTAGGGAATAGCAAACCGACTTTCGACAAGGTGGGTCGACATTCTATCAATTCCTCACCTTAAAACAAATTCTGAATAAATCTTCTAAATATTGCCGAACAAGGGGAAGGTAAGGTACAATACGAGTGGGCGCTAAACCACTCTTGCATTCAATCTAAGAGATCTATTGTGGCTAATTGAACAAGAGAAAATAAAAATTAAATTAGAAATTTAAAGTACAAAGGTAATAGAAGAAGCATTGATTCGGAAACAAATAATAAAAACAGCACTGCTTTATCACTACCTTATATGACGATACCTTTCCAAAACCGTACTCAGAAAATCGAATCGAAGATTAAGGTCTATAAAACCATCATTAAATCAATGATATGTTATGATTATGAGACATGGATGAGGGCAGAAAACAAAACGATAATTAGAATTTTTTTAAAAATAAGTTTATGAAAGATGCCTAGATCGACCAAATCTGGACCAAAAAGTGAGATATATAAATACAACCAAAACAAATATGGATATCTAAATACAACCATTTAACTTCACTAACAGTATAAAGTTCAGAGTGTGCTAGACTCCGCATACTTCGATGAGCTCGTTATATCATGAAGATGTATTATTCTAGCGTGAAGTCATGTCTTACTAATTATATGCTTTAATTAATAATGATAAGTTTTTTTTTTTTCATTAGATGCTTCCTCCACATCAAGTCCCAAATTGGATCTCAGCCACAGCTCACCTCGCTCAAATGCCAAACATGACGGGACCACCGCCAGAAAAACGATCTCCACCTCCACAAACGACGCCATCAACGCCACCTCCACCCCCATCGGACCCAGATGCACCACTCAACCTCAGCAAACCGAAATCGTCGAGCTCCGGTTCTGCGAGGTCAAGCCCACAAAGTACTCCCACTGCTCCTCTACAAGATCAGCCAGTAGCAGCAACTGCGCCTAAACTTCTTCCGCCTAATCTAATGATGTCAAGGGCGTTCTTACCATATGCAGGATTACCTCCACAGTTTCCTATGGACAGGAATATGCCCAATAAAGACATGACCAGTCCGGACAAGCAACCGCATTTTCCTCTTCATATGTATGGTTTGCCGACACCGCCGCATATGGGCGGACCCAAAGAGGATAGTATTAAGGAAGATAGAGATTTTTTAGCCAGTTGTCACCGTAAGTACAATTTCCAGTTGAAACTCCATTTTTATTCAAATCGGTAGCATTTATCTAATAATCGACTACCATATTTAGTTTTCTAAGTACTTTTATTTTTTAAAATACACAGTTTTTTAATACGTTGCCTAAATATTACAACCGTATAATTTTTGTAGTTTTCTTATTCAGTATCACCTTATTGTAAATTTTTTCTCGTTGTATCTCACTCCTAATTTTTGAAAATATATTACAAATTGTTTTATCGATATTGTGATGATTAGTATGATCATCATCATCTAGCAATCTGCTACTGAACGCAGGCTCCTCGCATTTCTTTCCATTTAGTTGGATTTGGCGCGATCTGAATTCAATTTGCAGTCACTATTTTTATGCCATTGATCCATCTCATCAACATGACTCTGTTTTTTTAGTTAGGTTGTATTCGGGGTCTTTATTCCAAACTTTTTTTCATCCACCGATCATTAACTATCTTGCTACATAAACTACCAAGTTCTGTTACTCTTGATTTTTTGCGTATAGTAGCATTACGTTACTCTGTCACGTAGGAAAACCCTCAACATGATTCTCTCCATTGCTTGTTTGTTGTTCTTGTGAGTGTTTCTGTACCATAGGTCATCGCTGACAGAATTTTTTGCTGTATTTAATGCACTTTTCTTTTCAGACACATTGGGATCTGTGACCTAAACATATCCCTTACCTTTCCAAGTGCAGCCCAGGCTAAGTTTATTTTGTTCTTCAGTTCGATCGTTTGGTTGTCTCGATTTTTTTGAATCTCTAAATATTTATAGGAGCTAACTGGTTCGGTGTCCCTGTCTTCAACTGTGATATTTGCTGTGGACTAAACTGGTCATACTTTGTGTTTTTGAAAAAATATTGTAATGTCTGTAATATCTTTTTTTGCAGTATAAAGCGCTTTGAGTATTATTTAACAGTTTTTCATCTACATTGATGCCCTCCTTGTTCCAATATATTGTGAACATGCGTACTCTAGCAAAGCCGTAAACAATTTAGGAGACTTATTGTCTCCTCATCGAACGACTCTTTCAATACAAAATATCCCAGTATACTCATTTTTACACAATCTATAGCGTTATTATAGATGTATTTGATAAGGGATATGTATCGGTGGTGTATTTTACATTGCGTTAGAGCGTGGAACATTTCACTTTTATTGACCATGTCAAATCATTATTTCGTCAAATCATTTTCATCAAATCATCATTTGTTTTGTATCCAGCTCTAAATCCTGCTTGATCACAAGGTTGGTTAAACAACTGGTAAATGTGACATAACAAGCTAATAAGTCTTTGAGAACAACCATTATTTTGACGACGTTTCGACAAGGTCGCACTTGCCATTATCAAGTCAGGTAGTGACGCTTCTTGCTGGTCATAGTTCTTCAGGTCTAGTATATCTACCTTTTTGTGCATGACTACTATAAAAGCTTTATTCCACTGAGATAGTGTAACTTCTTTTGAAAGCCATGAGATGTATAACTGTGCCATTGCTTTTAATACTGTCTTTCCTCCTGTTTTAAACTGCCTTAATAACAATTTGATAATCAGCAGCTTCAATGACTTTAAGGGTTCTTCAATTGGTATTTCTGGAATGTCCTCTTAACCCACATTTTCGACCTTTCCCAAGTTAATGTCGTCTTTCTTATTTTTTTCTTTATATTTCCTTGTAAACTTTTTCAACTGTCTTAATTATCTTTTTTTTCTGCTATTATTTGTCTATTTATATTTGCTATCCTAACAATACTCTTCTTACCTGGAGCTTGACTTCTCTTGAGCACCCTTAAACTCTATTTTCCTCGGCAACCGTTGTAATCTGTTTGGTGTTATATTGCCTTAAGTCCTTTCTCATTGCTTTATTAATCTTGGTTAAGCTGTCAATAGTTAAGCTTATTAGATAAGAAGACAATGTTGTACAGTTGTTTCCCATTCTTTTTACAATCAAATAAGCTATCTTGTATAGCATGGAGCATAAATTTCGTGGAGCAAATGGATTTCGTCAACCAAATTTCGTGTTTTATCCAGTTTGTTCTGTATTAGTTTATCAACAATCATGAGAAACATCGTCTTGTATTGTCTACTTTTCGATACTACATAGTATTGTTATGTTTGTCTGGTAACTCTGAACCATTTTCAACTAGTATAATAAAGCAACTTAATGTGTAATAATTATTCCACAAATAAATCTTACTTGACACTCGTACAAATTTTGCGTGTTAACCCTTTTGTTTATAAATTAAACACATTCTTAAGTGACTCGTAAAGTGAAGTTTACACCCACACGTCAGTCAAGTATTATATAACCTCACTCTGAAACGTATCAATAAAACAAACCATGTATCATTTTCTGTGAATAATATTTAATTGTATTTTTGGCATCAGCTCAAGCACTATATTATTCATCTGGACTGCAGATTACAATTAAAAAAATAAAAGCTCTATTGAGATCAAAGACTGTTTTATTATTTTCGATTTTCGAGTGGCATACCATTATTTACGTATGATATATTTATATAAATACACATTGTGTTTATGCTTCTTCCACTCGAGACCATAAAAAACGAATATAATTTGAACTCATTGTTGAATGATTCCGAAATGTATTAACCTCTTAAAATAGTTGTGAATTTCAACTTTCAAGACACAATTACGTACATACGAGAAATTTATTATCTTTCTTATAGCTAGTAATTTGCACAGAATTTATATTTAAAGTACACATGGCCACATCTAGGTAAACCAATATAATATTTTAATCCTTAAACATTTCAGTACCGCTTTTTTTCAGCAAACGAAAAAATATTTTTTGCCTAAAATGTACTTAAAACAGTTTATATAACACTCTTTTATCATTTGGACATTATAAAACATAAAAAAAACAATTTCTTTTCTTTTGAAGGCACAGATGAACATTGCACTTCTGACAATTCCATCTTGATTTTCCTGTACAACCAGGGTTTTGCATGTTAAAAGTAAAGGTACCCTAACCCTAACGAAGTTAAATACCATTATTACTGGCTTGTTATCTAACCATCTATTTACTACAATTCCATTAAAAGAGATAATTTGTTTCGTTAATCTTCTCTCACTTTTTGAAAAATCTTTTACAACAGTTAAAGGTAGTTACAATACCAGCAACAAGTATTGATTTTGGGTTGAAAGGTTATAGCTCACATAAAAATAATTATCACAATATAACGCACTTTCACCACCTAATAAATAGAGTTTTATTTCCTATCGATTGGGTTTGTTTTTGATGTATTGCTTTATAGACAATCTCCCTTTGAACGGCATGATTTGTGCATCTATGCAAACATTTGTTTTTATCTGCAGTTCTCTACATCTCTTTAGGACTGATTTAAAACTGGTCGAACTTTCCATAGTTTGTCGTTGCTCTGTCTGGGTTCCAGATTGTCAACACAATGTAAGTGGGTGCGAAGTTTAAAAAAACGATTGAATGTCATTGTATCTGGAAAAATATTAATTTTTAAAGATTTGTCTCAATACATTCGCAGTCTTGGAAATTTTAGAGAACCTGTTAGAATACTAAGGCCAAAAAACGATTTTATTTCTTGCAGGTTACATGGTAGAAATTTCTCAATTCCAGTTTGCAAAGCATACATATTGGTGTATTGAACGAAATTTTCCACCTTCGGTTTCGCCCTATTCACTATCATCCTCCTTTTCTTCCTCATTATCCTCTTCCTCTTCCTCATCCTCCCCTTCGTTTTGATTTTCTGAGACATCATCCATCATATGGCCAATTCTCTGTCTTACTTGTATTTCTTCTTCCCAGTCACTGTCATCACTAATACATCATTCTATGTCGAACAGGTTTTCTAGCTCTTTTAGCAGTTCCTTCTCCGTTAAATCTTTTATTGAAGGCGTTTTACTACTTGGAGGCTGAAAATAAAAATACCACTTAGTCATTTTGGATACAATTGTGCCCATCAAATTTGAGGTACACTTCTGTATTTAAAACTGATATCTAAAGAAACAAGTACACTTATATTTTACGCAATTGCTGCCATATTGCTTTTGATGCCAATTTACTTTTAGAATAAAACTATTCATGTGCCATCTGGTTACAAAACGCCGAAGTATATATAATACTTTCAGAATGTAAATTTCTTTAAATTGGATTATTTATTTATCAATTTACATATTCCTGTAGAATTATTTATGCATTCAAATTAATGGGTACAATTATACCCAACATGATTAAAAGGGTTAACTGGTATGGTCATAAAATTTTTAGAATTGGTAACTGGTATCGTAGGGCCGATTCTGACCCGACATTTTAGTCAAGTATAAAAAAATAACTAAATCAAATTGAAATTTTTATATATATTTATTATTGGAATTCGGATTTAATGTTTTGATGAAGTAAAATCAAATTTAGATGAATGATATGCATTTTTTTGGAATTATATACGACGGAATCTCTCTTTTGTTTTTGTGTAACGTTCCAACATTAGTTTGTATGCGAACAGTTATCTAAAGTTATGTTTCTTCCAGTTTTATTTACTGGTTCATTAAGTAATAATACTGCTAATGTCGAAACAGAAAGATTCTGAGGATTAAGTAATTTCCTTTTAAACAGTCTCCTAGTATATGACATTTTACAGTTTTCTATGAACTTCTTCTTAGGGTGCCTGGCCGTTACGAACGTTGGTGATCATTTTGGCTATGATGACTTTGTTGGTTGCTATACGAAATAACTGTGTTGAGGTCTTTCTATACCATGTTCTCAGGTTAGCAAGCTGGGATATCCTTCTTCGTTCTGGGGCACTTTTTCCTTCAATTTTACTTTGCAAAGGGTATTGAAGTAGCTTGTAACTGCCTTGATTTCTCATTATATGTCCCAAGTACTGCAGCTTACGGCCATTCACGGTGTTGACCAAATCCACAGTTGTGTTCATTCTTCACAGTACTTCATTGATGACTTTGTCTGTCCATGGTATCTTCAGGATCCTTCTGTATAACCATAGCTCAAAATCTTGATGTTTTGATAGAGTTTCCGCTTTCAATGTCTACTATGAACTTCACTGACTGAAAATTTCACTGATATAACGAAATTTGTCATTAAGTCTTTCGTTTCTTGTAACCACGCTGTCAAACCGTATGGCAGCTAACAGAAATAAAAATCGTTTTAGCGACAACGTCGCAAGAGATATGTCTTGTGCCGTGTCGTCACATGCAAATAGTCCTTTAGCATCTTCATGGTTCGATTTAAAGACAGGCGAGATTTTGATATAAGGTTGAATGCTCGAATAAATGAACTTTAAAAGATTAAAGGCAAATATGGAGCACAATTTTAATAATCAAATCTTGCCCAAGTACTTTCGCTCTCTACAGCATCATCAGGGGCATTTCTGGATAGCCCAAATTTGACGAAATGCCCCTGATGATGCTGTAGAAAGCGAAAGTACTTTCACAAGATTTGATTATTAAAATTGTGCTCGATATTTGCCTTTAATTTTTCAAAATACTATTTTTTTATTTGAGCATTCCACAATTATGTTTATGATATTATCAATTAAAAGGTACAAATTAAACTTTTTTCGGCACAGTCTTGTGCAACAGACTTTAAACCAGTACAATGTTATGCTTTCGTGTTCTACCACTAGTTGGTGGATTTTTTGACCATTTGTATCTACTTTTGTTATAAACTATCTTTGATGATTCTTGAAAACTTTCACTGTCTTTATCATCACTACTTACTTCTGAAAGTACAAGACTCTGATCGCTGATGTCTCGAATCGTTATTATTGAAGGCTCTGAATCATCAATTCTCGTATTCTCTAGAATATGGTTTAAACAACAATATCATATTCTGTGTCACTATCATGGTCACTGTCTATAGTTGGAGTGTAACTAATATCACCATCATCATCACCATTTAAAACAATTCCATGTGCCTATTCACTTGTATACCGTTTTCCATCGATAACAATTGAATCCAGGGTCGTAAAAAAATATACATATTCGGTATTGTCATTTAAGAATGGATTCCAGACAGTAGAACCACCGAATTGTGTAGTAGAATATTCAAACTGTAGATATTTATCATATAATAAAACCAAAATTAGTATAAAACAACTTTTACAAGGAAGTGAAAAAACAATGAAGCGCGTTATGTTTTTTAATATTTGTAGTTTCGGCTTTTTTTTACTGATAAAAAATAATTTTTTGTCAGTATTTTATTTTCATAATCATATGCCAGATATATGCAATTATTACAGTGACATCCTGTATCCTTCAGTGCTTCCTAGTACCGTACGCATTTTATTTGATATATGTATCTTAAAATGTATTGTATTAGAAATGTGACTTAAAAAGAACTCAGCTCAATTTTCCGGGAAGCTCAATTTTGTCGGTATTTTATTTTCATAATCATAAGCCAGATATATACAACAGTGGCATTCTGTATCCTTCAGTGCTTCCTGGTACCGTACGCATTTTATTTCGTATATGTATCTTAAAATCTATTGTATCAGAAATGTGACTTCAAATTTTTCGTTACAAAACATTAAAACGTTAGCAGACATGAAATTATTCAATTAGTTAAACAATAGGAAACAGTTTAGAAACATGTCATTAAGTTCTTGCAACCGAACGTATCGCCATGAGAACTCTACTAATAAATACACAATTGGTTCACTTGCTTTTAAATGTTATCTCCGTTTTTACGAATATATAGAACCGCTATGAATTCACTGTTTAAGAAAACATTGCGGGGGACATTAGCACGTGCCTTAACGTGGGTGAGGGACATTACAACTATTTTTGCAATTATCAATTGCATTTGTCCAATTTGCCGAAGCTCTGATTACTTTGCGTGGTCGATATAATTTTAAAATTGAGCAAAGTTGCACTTACAGTTAGTTATCTGAACCATTTTCTGCCGTATCTATACTCTTGTGGACTTAAGCAAGAATTTAGTCGAGATTTAGCAAAAAAATTCATGTATTTTTTATCGGGCTCAGAATACGGCTAAGAATAATCAGAATAATCTGAGTTTTGTTCGAGAAGAAGTTTTATATAGGTGCTTAGTCTACATTGCGACCATATATTATTTCTTCTTCTTTTTCTTCTTTCTTCTCGTTTGTATGCTATAAAGCTTGTTTCTTCTTCAATGTTTAAGCCTCCTAAATTGTTTCAATTATCGCGCCATCTGTTTCTTGGTCTGCCAATACTTCTTCGTCCATTTGGTGACTTATCCCATACTATTTGAACTATCCTATCCTCTGTTATTCTACTAATATGTTCGTTCCACTCCTGTTTTAGTTTTGTCACCCATCCATATATACCTTCTATGTTCCCTTATATTCGTCATTTTCTATGCTACATGGTATATATGGTTTCTGTCCCCGGCTTCTATATACCGTGTAGCTTCACCTTTCCTCAAAAAGTTTAAAGTGTTTGGTTGTCTTTGTGTAGTGTATTGTTATGTTCCATTTTACATTTATGACATTCCACTCTTGTCGGATAAGCCGCAATTGACGAAATGCCCCTGAAGATGATCTAGTGATCGAAAGTACTTGGGCAAGATTTAATTAATACCATGCTCGATATTTGCCTTGTATATTATCAAAGTTAATTAAAGGAATATTTAATAATAAAGGAGATGTGTCAGCTTACTTAATTTCAAGTTCATATTAATAAGATTGTATCCTATCAATTAATGTTTATAACATTTTACTCTGTAAATTGTAATGGATTTGTAAACGAGAGGACTTCTTGACATGTATTTTTGAAATACATTCTCAAACATTTTAATATATTTAGAATAAGTAATGCGTTCTTGTTTTTGTTTACATTTTTCAGGTGATTCGATAAGTTTATCCAATTTAATAATTTCCTTTTCTGTTTTAGTCTGGGGTTCACCGGACGCTAATTTCAAACTCGAAGCGGATAATGCAGAGAAGGCGAAAATCATCAGGCAACAGGCGAAGCGGGATAACGAAAACAAACCGCACATCAAGCGGCCCATGAACGCCTTCATGGTGTGGGCGAAAGACGAAAGGAGAAAGATCCTCAAGGCGTGTCCGGACATGCACAATTCCAACATATCTAAAATTCTCGGAGCGAGATGGAAGGCTATGTCGAATTCTGAAAAACAGCCGTACTACGAGGAACAGTCTAGACTGTCTAAATTGCATATGGAGAAGCATCCCGATTATAGGTATCGACCGAGGCCGAAGAGGACGTGTATTGTGGATGGTAAGACTTTAACTACTTTATTTTTAGCAATAGATCAGCGTATAAGAATCAGTCACAAAAGTAGAGAAAATTTATTATTTTAATATTATTTGGTTAGTATTTTCGGAAATATCTAAATATGTATTTCGATTCTACCAATTATTTAATCTTTATACCGATAATACTATTATTTACGATGTCATACGTGATCTTGGTCAGATTCTTTGTTTTTTCATATATCTGTTAATTTCTTTAATTATTTTTCTGCATGATTTTTATCTTAGTTGCTATATCCATATCAATCTCTCTCACTGCTATGGTTAAATTCCATTTTATTTCAGTTTTTATTCGCGATCATTCTATCCTGCTGCATTATCCGAGAGATGTTACGTCATACCAGAAACTATATCGTTGGATGACATGATTTTTACACAGTATGACATAAAAAATATAAAGGTAAATTTATGAGAATACTGCTGTTAAACAAACCCTATAACCGTTAAACATCCAGTCCAAATAAGAACACACTCTTACAAATAAAAAATCTAAATGAAAAAGACTTCAATGAATGAATACTTCAAACTCTATATTTGTTTTAATCCAGATGTAAATTTTCTTTCTTAAAGATTATCTCTTCAGAATGTCCTGTACTTTCAAAACATATATTATATAAACCATATCATTAGCCACACCTAAAGATACACTGTTGAAGACTTTTATTTCTTAGGGCTATGTTACACTAATCCGCCAAAACCAGTCTATATAGTACGACTCATTTTACCATTAAAATGGCCAACACACGTGCTGACCGTACCATGCGACACGACTGAACTTCCCGACCATCAATGTTGCTATACACGTTCTAACCATTACTACAGTTACAGTTCTCAGATTCTCCAGTTTCTTTTTCAAAATTGTCAACATTGCATCCAGGTAAACTGTTTTGAAGATTTACAAAAGAAAATTGTATGTTTTGTTTCTCCGATCTTGGTTTGAAATATCCAACACACTGAAAATCCCTCAAACAGCAGGAGTTTTGTAGCATTCCAGTAATTCATCAATAATCATGGTTTTCTCTCTCATACGTCGATATCTAAGACATTTTTGTAGACTGACCACTCCTAACGGCTATCAGCAGTTAACGGATTCGTATTGGGATCGGAGTTATGAGTAGGAGGTTGGCCAACAAGGCTACACACATTACGACTCGGCAGGTTCTGAGTGGAGAAGTCGGCTGTCGGGATATCATGGTTGCACAACCAGTTCGGTGGGCCCAACCGTTGGGTACAACTTTTTTTGTCTGTCAACATGCCTACACACACCAACCGTCGAGTGCAACATTGTCAGTGACGACAGTGGGGTGGTTTAGTCCAGTGGCGGACCCAGGGGGGATTTTGGGGGTTAACCCCCCCCCCAGAACCCTATTCCAACACTGTTATTCAGTACTTAAAATGGTGGAGGTAGCATAAAAAAATTTCGGTGCCCAACCAAACCCCCCCCCCCCGAGGAAAATTCTAGGTGCGCTACTGGTTTAGTCGGGACGTGTGTAAGAGGGTTTAAATCAAATTAAACGGCGCATATTAGACAAAATGGTGCATCACGCACTTCTTATATTGTTACCACATTATATAGTTATTGAAAACTAAATATATATGTTGCTTTGTAAAATTTGTTGGAATGTTGCAACGTTGTTGTAATGTTGCACATTAAATTTAAGATTTTCGTATCATTATTACCAGAGTATTAAAGGTATCATTATTACCAAGTAAAACAGGAAATCAGATCATTCCATTCTGGGTTTGGTTTTACAGTTTCTGATGTGACTTCGATGTTTTCACTACTTTTCTCCATTCTTGTCTCTCTTTGATTGTCCTTTTCAGTTTAGGTCTGTCTCTGGTTCTTTTACCTGGTGGTATCCATTCCGTTATAACTCTTATTGCTCTTTTTATTTCTTATTATGTGACCATACCATCTAATTCTCTGTGCTTTTATTGCTCTAACTATGTTCTCTTGACTCATCCATTCTTGTATTTCGTGATCCATCCGTTGTCTTACATCCTCTTCGTTTTCACTCTTTGGTCTCAGTACTTCTCTTAAAAACTTTCAGTTACATTTCTTTTCTTGCTGTTAATGTAAATGTCTCTAAAAGTTTTTTATTTAACTGATCTTAGTATGAATATATTGTCTCTAGTGGCTCTATTTGATCTTAATTTATTTTGATAATCACCGATTATATTTCCGGACTCGTTCGAAGTTCGTTAATGTCTGTGTCACGTTTTACGTTTTGAATCTTGACAAAGGCAAGGGTTTCCTGCCGAAACGTTGATTGATTGCAATGGAAAATAAAATCTATTTCCACATGTAACATATCTTTATTGAACGTAAAGCCAAGAAACATTAATTTTATATTAAATATATATATATATATATATATATATATATATATATATATATATATATATATATATATATATATATTGGGTGTTTCAGACAACTGCCCATTCTTTCGTCATTTGATCCTTAGTCCACATTATATTGTTAGATACAATATTAGGACATAGTCCATAATATTGTTAAATAATAAATTCTTTCCCAGAATTCTGATCCTTTATGTTTTATTAATAATTCTGCCGAAATTCCGTCCGTCCCTGGCGCTTTATTAATTTTTACTTTCTTTATTATCTGAACCACTTCTTCATAACTCGGACTTTAAATATGCCGCTTCGTCCTATAATATATTGTTCTCGATTTGTTAATTTCTAATGTTTGCATTTAGGTTTTCTGCACTAGGATTTCTTGTACTTGTTTTTTCAAAGTCTCTCTTTTTTCTGCACATTCTAGTCTAGTCCAATTTCCGTTATTATTGTTTTTAATGGTCTCCATTCCTCCTCTGCTGTATCTCCATCTCTGGTTCCGTTAAGTTTTATTTGGAGAGCATTTCTAAAAATTCCTATTTTTTTCTTGAGATTTTGAATCCTTCAACATTCTATTTTTAATTTGACTATTTGTCCGTTTTGCCACTGTCGCGATATTCTTCCGCAATTTTGTCCTGACAAGATAGTGATCTGAATCAGAGTTTGCCCCGCAATACGTTCTGACACTACGTTCTGGGTGTCTGTTGTCCATCTTTATTAAAGAATAATAATAATATTAAACAGTAGTAACAGCACCCTAATATCTAAGCACAATCTCACTGATTCGATTATTATATGTAACAGCTGTATTATTTATTATTATATTCATTATGTATTTGCTTCGAGGAATCTTTTATGTGCTATAAATGGTAATACTAAACTGATATTGTTTTGATCTTACCGTACTGTTTTATTATGTAAATTTGAGTCTATTTCGCCTTTTCATTTTATGCTAAAGCAGTAAATAATTATTGTAAGAGTATATAATAAAATTATGGTTTGGTTTCTAGGAAAGAAAATGCGAATATCAGAATACAAGATGCTAATGCGCCAACGCCGCCAAGAAATGCGGCAGCTCTGGTGTCGCGATTCCACTGACATGAACAACTTTATGCCTCCCAATCCAGAAATGTCACCCGCCACATCGACCTCCGGTAGGCCATCGGTATCGCCACCAATGGGAATGCTAAATGGCGCTGGTCCCAGCTCGGATGCTAGTTACTACTATACCCACGACAGCACCTCGCCGGAAGCCATGAACTTCTCTCAGGATTCTAGTATGGCTTATGATTCGTCACCTAGACATGGTAACGACTGAGCCTGGCTTTCAAGGGACAGATTCCCTCACTGGTATTAAGGTTCAACGTTAGAAAAATGTTTAGAAGATTTTGTGAGGCAGCATTTAACCAATTTAAGTATTTTGAAGACAGTATGGTAGCACTAGTTTTTGCTTGCGAATATGAAATTTGGTTAACGGAGTTCTCCTAAAGATTTTCCTAGTGTTTGTTTCGAATAAATGTCCATTTTAGGGCGTTTTTTGATTTGAAAAACCTTGTGGGTTTGTATTAATATTAGTCGTATGTACATTTGATAAAGAGACACTCCAAGGCAAGATTCTCTTGTGCCATTTGTGAAAATAAAAAATAATGCCAAAAGACTTTATTCATACTTAAAATTTTTGGTGTTGTAATTTGTATTGTTATGTAGATATATTTAAGAATTTGACGTTATTTATTTATATCTAGTTATTCATTTTTGTTTTTTTTTTATTTTGTAAATTCTTGTAAAACTTTATAAATAGTTTTCCGCATTACATTGCCAGTTTTTTGTTAATATGTACCGGATCTCTCAACTTTAATTTTAATACTTGAGTTTTTAAAAGGTTTTCCATTATTTTGACAGATCGGATTTTAAAAAAATATAAAATATACCTATGCCATACTAGCGTGCCATTGTGAATATTATAAATGCCACTGTAACTTTGGTATGAATATTTTAAAAATGCAAGGATTAAAATATTTGAGACTCTTACAGCAATATTGTTATTTTTCCAAAATGATGACGAAGCTTTTGAACTCAAGTGAGCAGTATTCTTTTCTATATGCTGCATTTTAGTCTTCTAATTCCGAAATGATCTTGTAAAAAATTAGCTTTATTAGAATAATAAAATTGTATTATTTTTTAAGTAAACGATGTATGGTACAAACAAATTCTGGTAGTTAGAAGACTAAAATATTAGGAACAATTTGGAAAAAATTAAATTTTACTATCTTAGTATGGAACAATTTGTTACTTTGTGTGCAATTTGAAAACTGTTAAACCGTATTATTGGCACAAAATATTCTTACCATACTTTTCTATGGAATTTTATATCGTACAAACATCACGAAAGTTATAATCCCACGGCCATCCCTTTTATAAATCCATCTTAGAAATGACTAAATGATAAAATAGGAACCAACTTTTAAATAATTCACAATTTAAATAAAAATAATTTTACTTATAATTAAAAAATACATTTATTTTTAGTTTTTCAAACCTTGAACTCAAAAAAAGTAAGTACAAGGTGCTAAGCTTACTAAATCATTGTGTTAACCCTATGTTATCCTTTTATGTTTTTATATTGCTATGTGGAGATGCTTTCTTAGCTTTGGACAAAAGCTTGGCAAGTTTTGTTCTATTCATCATCATCAACCTGTATGCGCCTCAGCTATTTCCATCTGTCCGTCTTGGGCGGCTTGCATCCAATTATTGCTAACACGCTTCAGTCGTCAGTCGATCTAGTTGGTGGGCAACCTCAACTTCTTGTCTTGGCCTCCAATTAATAATACGTCTTGTCTATCGGTTCTTAGATAATCTGGCGATGTGTCCTGCCCAATTTTATTTTAGCGACGTGATTCTTTCTATAGCGTCTGTTGTTTTTGTTTTACGACGTATTTATTCGTTTGGGATTCGGTCTCTCAAAACACCCAACATCTGGCGCTTCATAATCCTTTGAGGCTATATCTTGAAATTTTTTTGAACCATACGGGTAGGTCAGATTTACATATATAGCTTAATTTAAAAAACTCTGCCCAGGGTAATTCTATGCTACATGGGAGCTCACATGTCTGGTTATCTCTGTCCTATCAAATTACATGCCCTTTTATACGACTTGTCTGCACAATATCTTTTTTATCAACAGCAATATTACGATTTAGTACCAGATTATTCATTATTTGAGTCTTGCTCATGTTTTGTTTTAGTTCGACCTCTAAGGAAGCGCAATATAATTTTTCCAACATTATTAATGGATCATCCATACGATCAGCTATAAGAACGAAGTCATCTGCTAATATCAAATGGCTGAGCTTCTCGTCATTTATGTTGATACCATACTCGTTCAGGTCTGCTTTCTTACAAGTATGTTCTAAAAGTTTCGTAAATAGCTTTGAAGACACGGTGTCTCTTTGCCGTACTCCTCGCTACATAAAGAAATTATTTGTTTCCGATTCAGAGAGTATTGCGCTAGTCGTGGCATTTTGGTAGATATGCTCGATTATGTTAGCGATAGTCTGTTTGATATTATCTTCCTCGTAGTGTACGAATATCCCTGCCCTATATTCTGCAGAGTTCTATATCACGTTATTTATTGCTAGTAAATGGTCGTTAGTATTGTATCCCAATTTAAATCCAGCTTGTCCTCTGGGCTGATAGAAGCCTAACTTAGCCTCCGGTCTTTTTTTGATAATTTTTGTGAAAAGTTTGTATATTATGTGTGATAGCGAACTGATACGACGGTAGTTTTTTAGATCTGTTATGTCTCCTTTCTTGTATAATGAAACAATGTTTGCATTACTCCATTAAGTAGGAGATTTTTTGGTAAATGCATTCAATGATAAGTTTGGCTAAAACCTGGATGACTTTATTTTCACAATTTGCTTTTTAGCAATAATTTTTACGGATATTTCAGTTTACGACTTTTTATGGTTAATATCTTTCTTTTTTCATTTTTTTGAACACTTCTAAATTTGATATTTTATTCATCCGGAATAATTTAGGTATTCTTGTATAACGATATATAACTCCTCAGTGGAGTGTAGTGATCATCGTGATGTCGTGTATTGTTCATCTTCAAAGATCTCTGTCTCTGGTTATTTATTTTAAGTCATACATAGGTTATTTTGCAAATTCCTATATATTGGTTCACTCATCTTGTTGGGGATCTTTCAGGTTATCTTCGGCCTTCTATGTTTCCCTGGATAATAAGTCATTCCATGTTTTACGTGCCTGCTCTCATAACATGTCCAAAGTATTTTAATTGTTGAAGAGCCGATTTCTGACCTTTAGCTTATTTAAAATTGAATTATTTGACCTGTGGTCGGTTCACATAATTCGTAACATTTTTCTCCAACAGACCATTTCACTGGCACCTATCTGTTATCTTTCCGCTTGTCGCAGGGTCCAAGATTCCTATCCGTATGTCACTATTGGGCAGTTTCATTTAAAAAGCGCTTCATTAATCATGTATTCTGAGTGCAACTTAAATAATGCTGTTGACAACATGCAATATTGCATGCCCCCCTCTTAGGTAAGTAAGTATTTATACCTTTCTATAATTGATATTCATGTTTCACTCTGACAAATGCTTTGTAGCAATGAATAAACATAAAAAGACATCCTGATTTACATCTAAGCATTGTACAAGAGTTGTGTAAGTATTTTGTAGTGTTCTGTAGTGCTAAATAAATAGTGCTTCGTTTTTCTCTTCTTCTGAATCAAGATTGGGTATTTCCTGTTTCCTTTAAGTTTGGCATACAATCTATGATGTATAACTTTCAGGAACAATTTTAATATATGATTTATTATATATGATTTATGATTTATTACACTTATGGTATATCGTAAGGATATATCTTGATATACTCCAATCCCTTTGATATACAAGTAATTTAAAATAAGTATAATCAAAGGATGGGGATAAGTACCGTCGCTTTTATGATAACAAGAGGCATGTTATATGCACAGGAAGTACTCTAATAGTGAACTTGTGATAAACTATTGTAACCTAATGATTATCATATAATTTCCTTTTCTGCTCAAAATTGATTTGAAACTTTAGACAGTATACTCGTTTGTACACAAATTTTGTAAATGTTTTATTGCCGTTTTCGTACAATTGTTCACAGAATAATCGAGATAGTTCCATATTAAGAGCTTGATATCTTCCGATGAAATTTTTTAAGTGCAATGTATACTTACTTTTGTTTCTGAACTGTTGATGTTTATATATTTTAAAGTAAGAGCCAGTAATTTAAGTGACATTATTTATTTTCAACAGTTTTTCTATTTGTACATTTGTACAGTCCCACTCGAACTATGCATCAATACAGTAAACAGGTTATTTTCCAGGCTGTATTATTCGAAAAGTACTAATATAATGTAAAATAGAATTTTTGTATAAAGTCTTTATCACAACTACAAAAAATAGAAAATCTAGAAGGTATAATAAATATTAAGTCACACTAGCTACGAATATGTGCAAAGAAAAGTACAGTATATGTTTGAATCTACATTTTAATTTTTAAAATTTCCAGTGAGTTCACAGTATCTTCCAGAGGTTATATGAGTTCTTATAGTGGAGTAACATGACGAATATTCAAAAACGAATACTAGAACACAACTGATAATTTTCACAAACAAATAGGTACCTACCTTATGTAAGCAGTTCACACTGTATTAAAATCATTCATTTAAGCATTATTTTAAATTTAACTTTGTTAGACCCCATAAAAAACCACTAACGTAATAAAATTAAATAACTTCTGTCGTTCTGTAAATTCGTTAATAAATGTGAAAACTTCCAAAAAGTTTTCATTGGTTTAGTCAATATTTTATTGTTAAATAATGAAATTTTGAGAAGACGTCTGGAAAATAACCTACGCAGTTAGATATTATACACATGTTATGTACTTAGGTATAAAAAGTTATTTAGGTATCAAAATATACACATGTATTATTTTATTATGTTTCTTTTTGCAAACTTCCTTCTAAAACACTTCTTCTGGTAATACTAGAAGTACCAGTGAAAAAGATTGACAACCCCCTTGTTTCTTAATTAAAACAAATGGTATATGTATTAAAATAATATGATGGACATCAGAATTTTCGATGAGGTTATCTAGTTATTTTTGGAACGTTCATACAATTAAATTTAGACCTACGATTGTTTTGATTTACTAATGTAAAACATACATATTATTTTTTTTATACAATTTTTTTTTAATAATTTTTCCTTTTCTTTTTTTTGTTATTTGTTTTTTGCCTCGTTATTATTTC